GCATACATACAGACCTGTACACCACCGCCACCCGGGTGGTGCTGGGCGTTCTTCAGGGACTCAATCTTCGGCTTGGCGACGTCCCGGAAGTCGAGCTTTTGGCTCTCAATCTGCCCGATAGATCGGTGCGTGTTAAGACAAGAAAACACGAAGACAACTAATGTAAACTGCTTTAAATGGGCCCCGGAAGAACGCCGGTGTCAATGCAAGCGATAAAGTAGCGCCTATGCAGAAGATAGACTGGGGACTAAAATCTGTCCTCAGGGGCAGTTTGTAGGTGCACTTGTGGAATTGAAATTCAAAAATCTAATACACCGAGGGATTGGGAGGAGGGGTTGACAGAACATTCTGACAGAATGGTATTACCGACAAAGACAAGGGAGACTGGAATGGTCATTTCTGGCTTATTAGCAGTCTTCAGCCAGCCATATTGTATTGTATTGTATTTTAGGGTAATAGGCAATGCCCTTGATGACCCTATTGAAAACTGTACATAAAATATAAATGTTAAATGTACATCTTACTAAAATTTTGTCAGTAACATATTTGTTCACGGGAAACTTTCACAATGCGGGACTGCAAAGGGTGCGGCAGGCGGTCTTCTCAGTGTACACATGAAATTTTAAGTGCAGTTATATACAATCAGCATAAAGTGCAGGCATTTGCATAGTTTGAGAGGGGGCATCTCATGAAGAGTCAGGGGTGTGTTAAGTAGGGATGAAATCAAGAAACGAAATTTATGGCTGGCCGCAGGTAGTCCTGTTGTAATCGAAGTATGGAACACCTGGGGCTCGGTCCCGGCGAGGGCCCCTCCACCATTGTATATTTTCTGATCGAAACCGATAGGAAGAGCCGGTGGCTCAGTGGCTAGAGGCGTTGGACTTCTAAACAACAGGTCACGAGATCGAGCCCCAGACGTTCCACACTTCGGGGTTGAGTATGACTGGCTGACGACGGCTGATATGACAGAAATGGCCATTCCAGTCTCCCTTGTCTTTGTTAGTGATATCATCTTGTCCATGTGCGGCTGCTGGTTGGCTACAGAGAGGGAGTCCGTAAGGCACAACGTAAGAACGATCGATGAGCGTCCCTCTACCATAGAACATTCTGAACTTGCTTTATTAGCTGTTCGAGAGGAGTAGCATATTAATTGTCACAATAACGCCGCAGGGCGTTTCTATGATTTGCGGCGGTGGTTGTGGACGAACGAACGAGTGGATTCCACGCACGAGAGAGGTATGTAATTTTTCATGAACTCACCTTCCTGCCGCTGAGCAAATATAAGTAGCAAACGCAAACGTTTTTACAAGGTCTGGTGAATAAGTTGGAGAGTGATATTTCGAAACATCAACAAGAGCATCAGCAGAAAGACTGGACAGACCCCTTGACTCAACGCTCAACCAGCCTCCGTCCGAATGGAACGGCGTTAAGATGAGCGCATTAGGCCTTCTTTTACTAGTTTTTAAATG